CAAAAATTTGGGATTGAACTGACGGAAAAAACATTATAAAAAAAATAGCAAACATGAAATGTCGAGTTAAAAATAAAATAGACATAAATAAAACAAAATATAAATAAAACAAATAAAAAGATTATTTTAAGAAACATATTTTTATACATATGTACATATTTTAATATTATTTTTATTCGTTAAATAGTGAATTAACTTTTATTTTATTTTTGTACAAAAAAGTGGACTCTATTTATGTTAATGGTTTTTATAAACCAAAAAAAATAAAATAAACATATTCATTTACATATATAATATTCATTTATTTTATTTTTGTTACAAACTAATTTGATAATAAATTTGCGATCATCCTCCTTTTGTTTTTTCCCGCTTCTGAAATTCTTGCTGTTTGTTGTTCGATATAATTTCCTAATTGCCATACATCATTATTGTTGTAATCGTCATTGATTAGGATGTAATSGTCTTTTAAAAATTTAGCTATGTTATGTAAAATGAAACAACTTGCTATTACGTGAGGCACTAGCTCTGTCGATACACGAATTTTGTATTGAAGTATCGAAAATCTTTGCTTCAATTGTCYAAAACACCGTTCTATAATGACACGTTCCTTTGTAAACACTTTGTTGAATTTTTTTTCTACTTCAGTWGTTGGGTTCCGGAATGGTGTCATTAGCCATGAACATATTCCATAGCCCTCACCACCGAGAAGTAATGCATCTTTCGTTGCATTTTGCATTATCCTACATACCTCGTTGTTTCGTAAGATGCGTGTGTCATGAACTGAACCAGGCCAGGATATATCAACGCTTGTAAAAAGTTCTTTTCCATCACAAGTTGCCTGCACATTTTAGAGTGGAAGCCTTTTCTACAAATATACTCATCGCTTYGATTTGTGGGTTTTTTAATTTTTATATGAGTACAATCAATCACTCCAATTGCAAATGGAAAGCAATAATTTGCTTGCCATTTCCTTTGAGCATCTTTTACTTCATCTCCATCTTTCGGGAATTTTATCCACTCGCTTGCTTTGGAAGATATAAGTTTCGCAACMTCCGCAATAGTTCGGGACACAGTTGATTAATGGACACCAATATCTGTGGCTATACCATTTTGAAATCCAGGATCTGCACAAAATCTTAAATACAGTCGAATTTTATCAATGTTGTTGAKGGCACMMCCTTTGTTTCTTCTGAATCCTCAAAAAAATAATTAGCCAACCAGCTGATGCTACTGTCATCAAACCTATGTATTTTCATTTTATTATTAATTGTATAATTTTTTATCCTCACTWGCTAAATTTGTTTTACGCTGTTGATATCATTTTGCATTTCTTTATGGCACAAAATATTCAGCCATGRTTCCTTTTTAGTGTACGTGAGTCAATTATAGGCATGCTCAACAAAATTTGAGCTAGAGCTCAGCAAAAAGAGCAAAAGCTTGTTTTTATGCATATGAATGTGAGCACAAGCTCATCGAACTTCTCATCGACGAGATCAAACCAGAGCAGTGGGTAAAAGCAAATATATCAAATTTTTTTATGCATATGACAAGCGCCTTTTACTCAAAAAATCGAGTTCGAGCAAAAGCTCACGTTTTATGCATGAGACCCAT